TTTATGGATTATGACTTAATGAACAGATAATCTCGAAGCATTTTCTGAGGAACATTGGACATGAGTTGTGTGGGAACAGGATGGGCGTAGGATTGCGTTGAGCCAAAACTCTGAAACCCAAATGAGACCTTTTTGTACCTATTACATTTTCGTAGATTTAGTTAATTTGAGGATCTCTACTCCTTAGCACGGGTGTTCAGATACAAATAGCAACTCAAAATTATGTAAAATTAAACTAAAGAAATAGAGAAAGAAGTAATTTACCATGATAAAATTAAAGAAAAGTGTAATTTAATCTCAGCACTTAGCAATATTATCTCATGATCAAAACATGACCTGTAATGCTGCGGCAAGCAGTTCTGGTTTGAAATTAGGGCCAATATGAAGCTATTTTTGCTTCTAAAACTATGATTAACTGTGGAATTTTCATATGGTTCCAGCTAGTTTGTATATTGTTCTAATTTAGAGGAAACCTAACAATTTTGCTTGTAACTTAAGTGGCAGTGGGTGGAAGGCTACAAATCTAACCCACCTGTAATTTTGCACGGGACCCAAGAGCATTACACAAACCAGGGTGATGTATGTTGTGGCAAAATCCACTGTCCCATCATAATTACATAACCTGATGTGTTTATTTTTATATAAACTTATTTACCCCACTTGACCCCATACAAGTCTCACGAGCCTGATCTTACCCCTTCTTAATTACTTCATTTACTTTTCAAGACCCTCCCACCCTGATACAATCTAAAATAGTTTTCTCTAAAGATGGCTTACAAATACACTTATTCTAAGAAATGGAAATTGTTTAGTTTCAATATGGTTTATAACAAACTTGGTTAGCTATTACCTTGGTTTACAAACTTCATCTGCATCCGTTGTCAGTTTATCAGTCTGACATTCATAACTTTACCAAGAAATGTTCCATTTGGCCATTAAAAAATAGCCCCTTCAGCAGATCTCAATGATCTTCCATCTTAACAGATCAGGTCTTGTTATTCTTTAAAACCAGGAAAAGGACTGAAGGTGCATAACAGAATATCCCAAGTGTTGGTAAATTATGTTTATTTACATTTACCAATTCCTTTGATTGGGAAGTACTGGTAGTGGCCAACAAAGGCTAGTGAGTAGCCATAGAACTCACCCCCCGTCAAGAGATTGTACTCTCCAGAAATGCTGGCAGTGATGAATAGAGTAGACAGAACACCATAGAAACACATCACCCACAGTATGAATTTTTTTAATCAACAGTCATTTAAGAATTTATCGTCATCCACATAAAACCGTTAAATACAGAACAGCAGATACTACCGGGTCAATTATTTGGCAATTTCTATAACAGTCTTTCACATGCAAAATAACTGTCAGACTGGAGCATTAGTCGCAAGTGTGAAGAGTTCTGCATTTATGATTTTGCTAATATGATATAGGTTAAATTACCAAAAAAAATAAAAATAAAATAAAAACTTGCCTGGGAAGTATGTTCCTTGCTTAAGAATTAGTAAATGCCTAGGTTTTTTTTTATCAATTTGATACAAATATGGTGTTCATGCACAACAAAATTGAGAATTTTATACAACAATGTATTTTAATTTCTCGTCAGTGCTGCACAAACTTATTAAAAATCACACTCAAACACAAGAAAGGAAACAGAACATATTCTCTATAAACATATTCATCTACAAAAGAAATAACAATTTGGTTGCATTTAGAGATCTCAATTAATATTCTAAAAAGGAGCCTCTGTCCAATGTGAAAATGTCCAGTAATACACAAGATAAGCTGAAAGACAAATTTATGACCCTAATTCCCTAAATGCATCCATTCTGAACTTTCAACTCTCTCCTTCAGACTCTTGTGAAAGAAAGGTGCCAAATGAAGCTGCTATATACACTGAATTAATTTTTTCTCAAAAACATTCATTTTACTATGCAATGAACCAAAAAAAGTCATTAGTCTCATTTTTCTTAATGAAGATTATAACCGCAACTTTGTGCAGACAAATTATAGAAACACTGGAAGAAAACTGCACAATTCTTAACAAGTCACAACATGGACTTCACAGTTCCATCTGAATTTCGAAAGGCAAGTTACACCACTTTGATATCATACTGAAAGGGAAAAATTGTTCCATTGCAATGGGTAGTAACTTCCTTTTACAATCTTGTTTTCTTCAGTCCTTTCCGAAATTAAAATTCTCAGTCTCTTCACTACTTCACAGCTCATCATGAGTTTCATCCTAGAGAAGCAAGAAGTATTATAACATACAATTAAGGAACATAAGATATATACAAATGTTATAAAACAATAAAAAATAAAAAGCTTTCTACCTCTTCCTCCCCAGTTTCTGGTACATCAGCAGTATCAGTTTCATTTATATCTTCATCCTCATCCTCGTCATCTTCATCATCATCATCATCCTTTGAAGTTGATTTGGCTTCTTCATCTCTCTTCTTTCTCTCCTCCTCATCCTGAGCTTCTTTCATTTTAACTTCACCCTCCTACATACAAAAAAAAAAAAAAACATAGTGGTGAATGATTTGTTTGACAGATTAGGTTCATGAATAAGATTACAACTGAAACAAGTCTTACATGTTGAGGTCGCCAAACTTCTTCACCAACTTGCTTTGCGTGATCAGGGTCATCTGTGATAAGAATGTTATCAAATATTGTTCCAGACTTAACTTGCCACAGATCAAATCCAAGAGAACAAATTTCTTTTCGGAGGTAAAGTTCAGGATCCGAAGAATATTCAGGATTGTCAATTTCTGGGTGAATCCATGGACCCTGCAATGGAGCAAATTTATGCAAAATTGAAGAATGAGAAGAGATGCTAAAAACACTAGATTCTTTTTTCACAAAAAAGGAAGAAAAAAAACATGCAACAGCAACATGCAAAACAATTTGCAAGAGAACAAAATATCCATTTCTAAAATGTTTCTTATAATTTGAAGTAGTTTTAAATAATACCTTGTAATTTGGATTGTCAATTTGCTTTGGTTTCCATTCACCCTTGTAATCAGGATTGTCAATCATGGGGGGTTCCCATTCTCCATCCATTTCATCATCCCAATCTTCTGGCTTAGTAGCATCAGGATCAGGAATGTGTTCAGGTTTGTCCCAATCTTCAGGTTTGGTGTCTTCAGGATCATCAATAGTAGCACGATCCTCCCAATCGGAAGGTTTTTTGGCCTCTGGATCCTTAATTTTCTTGGGAGGCAAGAAATTCCAATCTGCCTCCAATTCTCCAGATTCAACTTTCTCATTGTCAATCAGAACCTATTGAACAGACAAATTAGTTAATGTTATTATAAATGGTTATATAATCATCTTCAAAATTACAATTCCACACAGAAGTTTTCACATGCACTTTGAGTAACACATATGTACCAGGAACAATGAACTCTTATAATAATTCACTAAAATGAATAGTAGAACAATTTATTTTTCTTACTCTTTTTCTCTCTTATTTCATTTCAAAAATTCCTTCATTATTAATAATAGGTTCTCAAACTAGGAGCAACAGGTGAAATTTTGGGCCATTTATGATTGTTGCCATGTCCAATGGAAAAATTAAATTGATTTTCCTGAGCTTTGTTACAGTTGTTTTAGGCATACTGGATTCTCAGAATCTAACAGCATATGTATTGCAAATTAGGTTTCGAATTTTGTGAAGTCGATATTCAGTTGTATGTAGCGTCAATTATATCTATCAGATCTCCAAGTTTATTTGTATCCCCCCCCTACATGATAATTACAGTTTATTAAAAAAGTTTAAAAAAATAATCTAAAAAATTGTAACACTACTGCTATGCAAGAATTATTGCAAGATTACGACTTCCTCACATGAACCGCCAAATTGAATCAATTTAGAGAAGCCCATTTACTGATGCTTTATTTTACAAATTCAATTTCTATGACTATTTTGACCCCAAACTCTAGAACTGTGAAACCAAAATCAGAGCCAAGAAAATTATCAAACAGAATCGCCACATGCTATTCAATTAGCATCACGTTTTATAGTCACCCGGTGCTTTTTTAAATTTTGTGTGTGTGTTTGGAACATCCTATTCAAAAAATTTTTAATGGCAACATATCCGCAAACAAGAAGCAATAACCTGCAAAGAAAAAAGTTTCTACATTTTTCCAATTGCTCAAACTCCACGATGCAGGAAATTATGATAGACTATGCAGCTCCTGCCATGCTCAATAAAATGCATCCCAAATGCCCAAGAGGACGTTTCATTAAGAAGAGGGTTGTGAAGAACTCTCAAATTAAACTCGCAATTTAACAAACATGAAATAATTTTATCTCATATTCCATGTTGTGATAAATACAACATGAAAATTTTGAACCCTTGTCAAAAAACGATGGGGTGCAATACTTTGAGAGCTCACCTTCAACCTATGTACATACGATTGCAACTTCGTCCAAAGACATGGATTTTTGTGGAACAAAAGATATTCCAGAAAGGTTTACTCAATTGCCCCGTATCACTGATCATAACATTTCTGCCACTGTAAGTATGACTCATTCACGACCAGGGCTCTGATCCTGATGACATGTCATCTTTTCACTCAGGCATTCTAGCAAACTTGTAAATTAATGTTATGATAAACATACAGATGATATAAATGTGTACTTAAAGGTTTATTTTCATTGCCATTTTTCAATTTTTAGATCATTTTTTAAGCCTATTAGATTTTTTGTCCCGTTTTTAAACATTTGTTATTTCTTTTGTCTTTTTGTATGTTTATAAATTTACAGGCACTATAAAACATAAGTTTTTTATTATTTTTCATCTATTTTACGACAAAATTCATCAGTGAGAGTGTTTCAAACACCACCAAAATTATACAGATCTCCTAACTTCCTTTTGAATTGAATTTGCATTATTTTACGTGGCGAGACCGGAGCATCAGGCCGTTCTTCGCTGACCATGCGAAATTGCTAACCGCTGCCTTTCACAACTAGAGAGAAAAGAGGTATTGTTTCTTGGGAGAAACAGGCGATTTGAATTGTAGCTCAGAGGCGTCATTTTAAGGCTTTGAGGATCTTTTATGCACAAGTAATCTAACGAACATGGACAGCAGGGCTTTACTGTACCCCTCCAAGGAAGGGGTAAAGGATTTTTTCGCCCTTAAAAGATCCCACGCTTCGATCGGGTTTGAAAACTCGCAATTGGGTACAAAAGTCATACGCTAACATGTACACCATGCCGCCGGCTCCTTGACTCAAACTGACTGTTGGAAGACTAAGATACATTTTCTTCTAAAAAATAAGCTTTAATCATTTTGAAAGAATTTTTAGGTATCAAAATTTAGCCCTGTTAATGACCATCTTTGTATTTATTGTCAAAAACATACAAGACATGCTAGGCATGGAAAGTTTTTGTTATTTTTTGTAGGTTTATTAAACATTGCTTGTACTTACAAGATCATAAAATATTATGTAACCATATGTGTTAAGTGGGTTTTCACAATCAAGGTGTAGAGATGTGTGTAGACATCATCTTTACAACGAATATCCTTGTTTATTAGAAGATTCTTTCCTTTGTAACTGAAGATCACATGTACTTTTTTGGTGCCGGGTCCACATATGTCGGGTCCTAAACAGAAAAATTAATAAGCTTGTTAACCACGAGAATGCAAGGAGAACATTATTTAGTTAACACACACTATTACTTACCGAACATAATTTCATAAGGAGATTCTCCATGCATATCTTTCTGTTCCAATTTACAATCAAAGATCTTAACATATCCACCTCCACAATCAATATTCTGTTCATGTTTAACAGAAAACTGCACAACTAAAGGCTTGTCCTTGTTACTAAATGGTGGGAACTTTGTGGACAAAGCATAAAATCTGGCATCTTGTGATGTCTGAATACCTGTTAATAAAATTTAAAGAGAAAAACAATTAACATACTCTAGTTATTTGATCTGCTATTTTAACATCTGGTAATACTACAAGCTCTTATTACTTACCCTTATCCTTTTCAACATCATTGTAAAATTTCCCAGCGCTTAAGACGAACTTTCCGAATTCCTTTCCGGGGTGCTCAGAATAAATCCAATTGCTTTCCCATGAATCTGAAAATGTATTTCCGATTTGTATTACATGTAATATTATCTCCCAACAAACATACAAGGAAAAATGTTCCTACTAAAAGAGTAGGGGCAAAATTGAAATTTGACATTATAACATAATAAAATAAAAGCCGGACTTACCATCTCCGAATTTCTCTTCGTAATATACTTCTCCCCTTACAGTTAGGGCTACGAGAAGACAAATATACGCGTAAAAACGCATGTTTGTCGGGAAAATTTTCACACACGCCCTTTCCCAAAGGCCGACAATCCAAGAAATACACTACAGCCACGAACTCAGACAAGACGCACGGAGGAGAGCCGCCAACTGGAACCCACCTATTGGTTAATTCCTCTGACCAATCAATGCAAACCACGCTCTGTCAGAAGAGGAAGGGGGACTTTAAACTCGTTCCAAACCTACCAACTAGCATTAATTTTCCCTAGAATTGCCAGTTGGCGATCCTACAATTCATATCGACGTGTTGTCATGGAAACAGCGTTTCGAGATGTGGCCTGTTTTCCCTTCACGAGTCGGCATGATTCAATGGACGACACGAAATGTGTAGAGTGGGAGTGACTATCTTGGGAGTGTTTCATTGATAAAAAAAAATGTCAGATTGTACATAACCTCACCGTGACATGTATTTTCTGTTTTGTGAAATAACGTGAGGGAACGGACATGTTTCTCTTTTTAAGTTGCCGTAAAGAATTTCTAATAACCTATTATGATTAGCCCCGAAAACATAGCAAGTAACCTGATTAAGGAAAGTAGAAATCCAAAAAGCCCTGGGGAAATTAGCATTTTACTTCAGCAGGTGTGTTTACAAATAATTATTGTAAAATAAACGTAGTACTTTGAATTTTCTCTAATGCGGCAAGTGTTTGTTTACAGCTTCATGAAGCAGTTCAGGTATCAAGTGATGTGGACAGTTTCATTGGCCCAATTATGAAACTATTGCCTAATAATAATTTTGAAATTAAGCGATCTGTGTATTCTTTACTTCCAAGGTATAATACCTAGATGATTTACTGTAATTTTCAATATAATTTGTTTGTATGCAAAATGTATTTTATGTTCTAGGATATGTTCAATACATCCTGATTCTGCACTTTTAGCAGCCAATACAATTGTGAAAGATTGTATGGACCCCAATCCCTATGTAAAATGTGTTGCTTTGTCTGCAGCATGCTCTTTACCTCAGATATTGGAACATACAAATTCAGTATTATTACAATTATTTGATGATGACAACCCAAAAGTGCGACATTCAATTGTTCTGGGCAGTGGCAAGTTATTTAGAAAGGCACCAGATGTTGTTAAGGAGATGGGCTATGTTGACAGGTACATTTTATAAACAGTATCAAAACATTATCCTGATGTCTGGAATTTTATAAAAATCTCTTTGTATTTGCTTTTGTAGATTATATGAATGTGTCAGGGACAGTGATCCTGTTGTAGTAACAAGTAGTTTACTGACTCTGGATGTCATATTAGCATCAGAGGGTGGTGTAGTTGTCAATCGGAACATGGTAAATTATTTAATGGGACGACTTCCTGAATTCCCAGACATGCAGTTAGCAGACATTTTACAAGTATTTCGTAAATATACTCCTGCAAATGAAGAGGAACTTTTTCGAGAGATGAGTATGTTATATTATTAAATATTTCATTCTGGAGTTTACTTTTGGCATTCATTCCTTGAGATTTGTAACACATTGGGTGCTTATGAAAGCAAAGTTGTGAACAATATAACAAATAAGGAAGTAATAAAAAGTGACTGGTTTTAGCACACAGGATGTGCCACTGCCAAAAAGTGCCCTCATGCCACCTATTGCTTCTGGTAAAGACCTTAATAAAACTGCTTTTGGAATGTCTTTCAAAAGAAAATTAGGTTTATTTAAAAAAAAAAAAAAAAAGAAGGGGGCAACGAAGGGCAAAGGGCACCCGTTGGCTTTTGGAAATCATCTCTGCGATAGTTTTTGTGCCTTTCTTAGTTGTGGAATAATAATAATAACAATAATAATAATAATAATAATAATAACAATAATAATAATAATGATAATAATAATAATAAGCATGACAATTAATTTTTATTTTGTAAAGATTATGTACCAAAAATAGTTTTCTAATTTTAATCGCTCTAAATTGCTTCAGGAAGAAATGTTGGGTAAAGAAATTCTTGCCAAGTTCAACCCTTTGAATTGACTCGTCAAACTTCATTTCAAATGTTTGCTTTATATGCTCTATTTCCATTTTTTCCTTTTTATACAACTTTGATGAAGAATATCCTTAAATGTTGGAGTGTAATTTTGTTAAGGAAAGAACAAAAGTTATGCATCATTGGTAAACTTCAGATGTATTAAGTGTGATTTGAATTCTTTTATCTTATTTTTGGGAAGTGGTTCATAATTTATTATAACAACAATGTAATATATCTTCAACTGAGTATTGTTTTGCTAATGCTTATGCATTTTTTGTTTTTAGGTATTTTAGATCCGTATTTAACATGTTCCACAAATGCTGCAGTAACTGTGAGCTGCATCAATCTATTTTTATTTCTTGTTGAAAAGGACTTCTCACACTTAACAAGTGACATCATCAAACGGTCCTTACCTGTATTGAGAGAATTTCTCAAATCCTCTGCATCAAAACTCTATGTAAAAATTATTCTTGATTTCTTAATATCGATGATCCATCAAAAGAAGTATGATTGGCTAAATGCTTTGAGTGAGTGTCCTGACCTATTCTTTCCCCAAGAAAAAGATGATTATAAGATCATAAGAAAAAAAATCTCTATTCTTCCATATGTGTGTGATGAAGAAAATTATAAAACTGTTCTTGAAGCTTTAAAAGAAAAGTACTGTTTAAATATGAACACACATAAAGATGCAATAATGTGTGCATCTTTAATTGCAAAACGCTGTTCTGTTAATGTTGGTCACGAGTGCCTAAAAATATTTCATACTCTCTTAGAATTAAAAAGTGATGTTATATCTGATTCAGTTTTAAATGTTTTACATACACTTGATTTACTTAAGTATGACAGAAGTAATGTGAGTCATCTTCTTCACAAAGTTTTTACTAATGCATATTTAATCCATAATGTAAATGCTGTTCCTGCTATGGCAGTTCTTTTGGGTGATTACGGAGAATTTGTTGATAATCATTCAGCACATGTTTTAGAATCACTTGTACAAGATTTTGAAGTACATGAAGATGAAAGAACAAAATTGTTAATTCTAATGGCTAGTGTAAAAATGTTCCTAAAGATGCCTGCAAAATGTCAGCATATCTTGGGAGAAGTGTTTGAAAAATGTATGAGTGGTAAAAAAGAGCCAGATGATTTATTTAATAAAGCAAGAAGATATTATTTATTATTACAGCATGATGTGGAATTAGCAAAAAAAATTCTGCTTGGCAGTTGATATAATCAATTTTTATATTCTGAAGTGCCTTATATTTGTTGTGATAGTAATTAATAAAAGAAATTATAAATATAACTGTACTCGGAATTGTTTTCCTCTGACTTGTCAAATTACAATGGTCAACAAGATTTTCTTCACAAGATATCTTATTACTGAATCTAGTGTTTTTTTCACACTGAATTCAGATATATATTCAGTATTTCTCCATCAGGCACAGTTTTTTAGTGACAGCTATGTTTTAAAATCTGATTTTAACCTTCTCTTTGGCCTGTGATAGGTACCTTTACCTTACATGTAGTAATTTTATTCAAGCTGTATTTAAGGAAATTATGTATAATATCATGTAATTTGGGGGTAGTTTACATGAAGTCCCCCAACATTTTCTGAAAGACAACTCCAATTTTTTTCTTTAAATTTCTTGTAAGAATAGAGTAAAATGCACTTATAAAAGGTGGCATAGGTCTGATTTTCAGGGTTATCTCTGAATTTTCGTAAATTTCAAAGTTTTCAATTTTTTTCGGTGTCTTCCTACAACTACAAAATTAAAGTTAGAGAATTTTCCTGCAAGACTGAGTTTTCACATTCGTTTGGCGCCAAGAAGTACTTGCCAGAAAATTGCTTTGTATATTATCACAATCCAAAAGTAATATTCTGCAGTATTACACAGACTTGACTTGATGGCACCAACGCTGAGTTGAGAAGCCAAGTTATGAATACTTTCAAGACAATTCAGTTCCTTTGGTTCTGCTAAGTCATATAAAATAGCTCCATAATCTAATTTGGATCTTATTAATTATTGATGAGCTGAAAAGAGATTTATATTGTCCCTGCAGTGAAGAAGTAATACAGATATTGGTTTAAAAACGGTGTAACAGAAAAACTTGTATTTGAACACGTTTATAGACTTCCAAAAATTATTTGCTCTATGAAGTAATTAAGATTTGCGTAAAGTTTTAAACACAACAACAGGCAATACTGTACAGGTTCATTCAGGTTTTGACATGCTCAGACCAGTTAATCTGGTATTGTTATATGTCAGTGTTAAGATGTCTATGAGCTTGTTAGCACAAATATCAATGGGGATATATTGCCTTCCTTTATGTTTAGAAGTGTACTGTGTAAGCTATGTTTTAGACTCATGCAGATAATATCTACTGTATTTGTTGTGAGCTGCCCTGAAAGATTCAGATATGAAATTAAGAAATGTTATCAACATTACTTTGGCTGTCAAGTTCGTGATTTTGAAAAGAGCTAGGTTCCAAATATATGTTTTGTATGTGAAGGCTGTTCTCCTGGTGTCTTGATAGAAAAATGGTACATATCATATTCATAGGCCATTTGCAATTTCGATGATTTGGAGGGAATCAAAGGATCATCTAAGCAATTGTTATTTCTGTTTGACAAATATTAAAGGAATCTCGTATCCCTTACCAGAGAAATGTGTCACATGTCCATTCACTAAATCTTGAAAAATACATTTATCTCTATTGCATATTAAATTAGGAGGAATGAAGAATTTCGTAAAAACTGTGGATAAATTTTCTGATGGATTCTTGTACTTGAATCGTAATTTCTCAAAGTAAATGATGCTAAGTTGAGTTTAATGACCACAAACATGGACATTAATGGCTGATGAATATTTTGATGAACTATTAATCCACTGGAAAAAGCAGCAGGCTGATGACTGGCTTTCAAAAATGTATATTGCAATTTCCTTGACCACCATAAAGCAGAAAACGTTTGGTCTTAGTTGCTGGTCTGCATTCTTATAAAGCTATGGCATGCAAACTGTCTTTGACAATTCACATCTCAGACTCTGACTTACAGACTTCCTGGAAAATCTTCTCAGCGATGGTGAGCGTTTTCATCAGTAAATTTGTATATTGGAGAACGGGTATTAAGGCAAGTGTAGTTCTAATGTTTGCTGACCAGTTGGGCCAACAAGAGAGATTCCAGATACAGAATGTCTGTAAACCATCATTACCACTTTCTAGGTACAGAATGAGCAGTCAGAATGTATCAGGATGCATTGTATAACATTTAGAGTAGGATAGTTAGTAATAAAAATTATGACATGTTCAAATGCATATCGCATAAAACTCTAGCCTGATGGGGAAAAACTTAAGCAATATTTGAATTCGGTGTAAAAAATACTTATAGAATCTGTTATTTTCATTCTTGTGAAAGAAAAAAGTTTAATTTTGTAGATTAGTGTTATTTTTACTTTACATTAGTGAGTTAATTCTCCTTGTATAATATTTTCAAAGACAATTGAATTATTTACTCCATATACTTTCTTAATAATAAATTTTAATTACAAATAATGCTTCTTTTTAACAATTTTGTCAAAGTTGGAAAAATAAAAGTAAAAAATTTGAAATATAAATTTATTATGGAGAAAGTACAAGTGAATGATTTAATTGTCTTTGAAAATTGGCCAAAGACAACAAAGTAATTAGTGGAAGCAAAAAGAAACTAGTGGTAGTATTCTTTATTATTAATTTGAGAATCACATCTGCAAACAGTATATCAAATGAATTATCTAACTTAATGATAAAGGTGTACTAAATATTTTAATTTTCCAAAAATCATTCAAGGCTTGTTAAAAGTGTATAATGAAGAGCATGTTGGAGATAGCAACTACTTAAGTTATATCTTTTTTCTCAAAAATACAATGACTGACAATGTAACTGAAACCTTTCCACATTGCATGGGAGTGGTTTTTACGAGAGGATTTATAAAATTATTGCATTAATATATTTTGGGTATATTTTAACTTTATCAATAAAAATAAAATTATTTTATACAATTTGAAATGGTGCCTCCTATCATGGGCATCATATATCTTCATAACAATTCTTTTTTATTTTTTGACATAAAATAAATAAATATTGCTTTTTGTAGCTGCGAACAGTTTATAGATGTTGCAAATGTTCTTCTGATGGATTTTGGCATTCACATCTGTTAACTGGGAGAGGAGCTCAAGACGTAATGGCTAGAACATCGTGTCTTCCACTGGCGGGGCCTGCTTTCTCCTGTATCCCCTGCCTCTCATTCCATTGTTTGCTTATTGCTGAGGTCTTTTCATTAGATCACATTGGGCCTAGATGACATCAGCAATTGGCAGGTTCTAAACACCAATAACACAAACCAAATTTTAAAATCCTGAATGATTCCTCTGGACGTAGACCTGATGTTTCTAGCTTATGAATTGACATGTCTCAAAATTTGACTTTATAGAAATTGTGTTGTTTCACAGTCCACTGTTTGAACAGTTGCTCTTAGAGCTGTAACAGCCCCCTTCCACACTCTAGCAAGGAATGCAATCCTTAGCTGAGAGTTGCTCCACTGTGCAGGTATAGGGAAGATGCTGATCCTGTGGCACTAACTTATTTACAAAGAGCAAAAGCCAGCCTTGTGAGTCTGCCATTTGAGAGTCCAGAGGGAGCTATTCATTCAACCATGCTCAAACAAACACCAGAACAACTTTAACTCTTCTGTGAGGACTAGTTGTGTTGATGTCGGATTACTTCATGGGATTTTTGATATGTTGTAGATTGCCATTGCAAGGAGCAATGTCCAAGAATTTTGTACACTTGTGGCTTAGCAGGGTGTAAGCCAAGCTTACCCATATTTGTAGTTGGCCAGCCAAATTGCAGCCATACCCAAGCCTTGCAAGCCTCTAAACCCTTTTACTTCTATTAGGCAACTGCATATTTTCCCTATGGCTTTTCCTATTAAAATATTTTGAATAATATAAAAGGAGAATCAGTTCATGGTTTCTTGTCTTCTTTCATTTGTACGTTTTTATAAAATATTTAAACCAGAAGGTACAAAAGGTATTTCAAATTAGGACTTCGAGGCAAAGAGACAGATTTCGATTTTTGTCTAAATTACCATTTGTAGAACTATTTGTGTTGATTTTCTGAAACTTACAATTTATTTGTAATTGCTTTTTTTCCTTGGAAGCATTTTTCTCTATGTGCAATCAATTGTAAGTATAAGAATTTGCAGAGAATCTGTTGCTTGACACTGATCAAAAGCGCTTGAAAGTTAAGTTTCAACTTGTAACCTGATATTAGATTATTTTAACAATAAACGTCATACAAACCATAAATTAATGTAGTCATGGGGGTATTGAATGTATTGACAAATAAAAAAAAAAAAAAAAAAAAGAGAGAGAAAATAAGACATGTGACTCTCCGGAAAATATTAGTGACCCACCATAAACGAGTGCTATGAAACAGACGCTTCACCACGTCCCCCCTCTAGTGTACGCTAGCTTTTCAATATCTCCCCACCCTCTTCCGAGAGCAATGAGAAATAGGTAATTTTTCATATTTTCTGAATTTTTTCATTTCCTAATAGTGGAATTAAAATAAGATTAATTTTTGAAAGATTCAAGAATGGCATTGGTCAAGTTAATCAGAAATTTTGCACTAAAAGTAAAAGTAAACTTTTCAGCATTTTTAGAAAATTTTATTTCTGAAACTGCCCATATTTCACTCAATTGCTTGAAAACTAATAATATAGTCAATAAAATTATATAACTAAAATTCTGTGGGTTGGTGGATAGGACACTAGGTCACATTTACTAAATTTTACAGAAAAGCAATTTGAAGATATTTTACTGTGGACTTGGTGTGGTTTGAAAACATTGTAACCATCAATTCTTGACATATTAATTTAGTATGAGGGGGTCAAAAAATTTCAATCCTTTGCACTTTCCGAAACTTCAGATTAACAAAGTCAGTCCTATTGCATGTTTATATACGTATTTCGTTGTATCCTTAAAGAAATTAAAGGTCAAAACTTGGAGATATTTTAAGAAAATTTTGGAAATGTCCCAGAAACCTCATATAAAGTACCCCACGAATTCAGAGTTGGTTTTTTTTCTTTTTTTTTCCTCTCCCTTCAAATTAACTGGACCAGATCGTTTGGGGAATATTTGTTTTGGAAAAAATTCTATAAATAGTTTAGATTAAAATGTTGACAGACAGACATTATGGAGAGAGCGTAGGCTTCCGCGGCCGGAGTCAGTATTTGGAAACTTTTTTGATATACGGGGACCCTGAAATTCCCGAACCCTTGCATTACCATTAAATTCTTGCAATTGATTTTTCACAGTACTATAAAACTTTTTCAATACTACATATATTACTCTGTACACATGTATGAATATGAGAAAGTAAAAATTGCCCCTTCGGGACATTGATCAAAGGAACTCCTGGCATCAACAGAAAATGTGCTTTCAGGTCACAATAAAACAAGATGTTAAAATATTTCTTGGGCATAGTTAAATGAATGCAAATCATCTTTATAAAAACATTTACAGAATTGATTTACAGAGTAATGCATTTAAAATATCTACTTTTCCATCAGGATGTTGTTTCTTACTGCAGTACAAAAAATTAAATAGAAAAGTGAGCTTCAGCAAGACAAATATAATGCCACATAGTGTATAATAGAAAAAAGTTGCAAGATCAATATTAATAATTTCCTCAAGGAATAATGAAAAACCTCAACACACCGTACAGAATTTTAATTTAATATTATACTCTTCACAGCAACATTACATAACACAGCACTCCTAAAAATAAGCATATATGCTAGTAAGCCTGATGTATTTCTTCACTTGAAACCAAAAATATATCTGCATCAAAGAAAATTGGGTGTTAGTACTAGCAAGTTTTCATTAATACACTAACGACTGCTTCATTAAAAAGAACTAAGCAATATTGCTAGTTCAGATCATATCATATCATTCAATGCAATCACTGCCAATCTTCCATGTCTAGTCAGGACATACAACATGAATGGCGTTATATCTAACTTGCAGTGATCTTGGATGGGAAACATCAAACAAAAATTCCATATAAGGGACAAAAAAAGAACAACACAATTTCACATTTGTCGAAGACGAGCTAGTCGTTGGGTTAATTCATCTTGTTCTTGCGATACTTGTGTTGATGTGCCAATTGTTCCAGTTTGTCCTTCTGGCAATTCCATATTTAGTTCCAACCTGTAAAATAATTGAAACATTCAAATGACATTTTCAATACAAATTAACAGGGAAGTCTAATACGCAAACCTCTAGCCATAAAATACAAAAAAAATATTTTCTTACCCAGCTTCATCTGCAACCTGTTGCATAAGAGTGTCCACATCTCCCTGAGGGACAGTGGTGGTAGTTGTTTGTGACATTGTATTCTCCATGTAGGAGCTCTGAACATCCAAATCTTCAAATTGGGTTTCAAATTTATCCATAAGATTTGATATTTTTTCAAGATTCATTGATTTCATAGCTGCATCCATGGCCTTCACAACTCCAGCCATGGATTGAGTAACCTAAATAGAATTACTTGAATATACTGAAAGCTTTTCAATAAATACAAAATTTACTGTTATATAGCAATGCCACTTTTGCAGCTTGACATTAACTGAAAACAAGGTCTATTAGAAATGTCATTTTTCATTGAATTTTAATTTCAACATTATGTCTTTAAATGTAAATTCAGAGCTGAAATATTTTGAAGGTTCCTGTCTACAAAAATAAATTATATGATATACTTCACTTGTATGACAATTTCATACATTAGAAGATGTAATAATGAAAAATTTTTGTTTTAAGTATTTTCTAAACATAAAAACAATATTTTCATCACATTTAATTTAAAGATATTTTATGAACATCACGGTGCATTATGTATTATTCAAATTACTATTTGAGTTCTCAGTACTTACGCGTCGAGTGGTAAGGGCTGATTGAACACGACTGGCCACAGCATCTACTCTAGCACTCATGCGTAAATAATTTAAAGATTGATTTTTCTGCCTAATGGCATTTTCTGCATGGATACGAGCTCCTTCAACATTACCTTTCTGAATTGCTTTCTTACATTTTTGCTTTTCCACTCTTTCTTCTTTTTCGCATCTTTTAGAATTTCTCTCAAGTTCTTTCACAGCAAACTTCAAATTAAAAAGATGCTCTCGTACAAATAAAGGAAAATACTAAAATGCATAATACACAAAATATTGTTTAACATTTTCATGCAAGAATTGCTGAATAAAAATATTTACGAAATTAATTTGGTAAACACAAAATCGAACAATACGAATTAAGGCACGTAACGTAAATGCTACAGCAAAGGATACTTTCCATAGTTGACACAGACATTTTCAAAATGACAATTTCAAAAAGCACCAAGAATACACAAAGAGAAATTCAACGCCAACTCACAAAATGTTTAATCTACGATATTGACAGCACGCTAGGAATAATGGCACTTTGAAGCTACACAATACTTCGCTAAAAACCACTATTTCAACAGGCGCGGAACCTTTCTAATACTTAATCTGTCACAAATATACCACCCAGGATCACAATACACAAATGACGTATATGACTCAACGACATGACATCGTTCACTTTTCCCCTACCAAACAGCACCCAGCCAGCCACCACCAGCGAGTAATCCTGTATCACGTGCAGAGAGTATATATCACGTGGTTCCAAGAACATGGATTTATTTAACCATGCACTTGACATAAATAAGCTGTTCACAGTTTCATCCAATCGAGAGCTCGAACGACCCGATAGTGACATCACTGAGGCGACATTAAGCACCCAATTACATGAATACGCAACAGCTTATATACGTCAAGTGCACGAATACATCGTACTATAGTTTGACAACCAACAGCAATAGCAGCATATTCAACAGTCTTGAAAATAAACGATACATTCTGCCATTCGTTTCACACCATCGCGCGATCTGGCGCAATACATTAAGTCACTCCCTGCAACTATTATTACTTTCCCGTATACATACGGTTGTACGGAGTAATATTCGTGTAATATCAGGGTCGGTGATTAGTAATAAGTCCGAGTGAGTTGGTCAGGGTGGGGATGCGCCCTCCATCTCCCACTGGAGATGTATATAATAGGAAAATCACAAAAAATATTTTTTTGTAAATCGTTCAGCCGTAAATTTTTGCAACACAAAACACCGCTATGCATGGAATTTTTTGATAAAACACATTTAAAAGTTCTTGCAAATTGAGTTTGTTGCTATAAACATGTAAAATCGCAATACTGATGAGCCGATCTTACAACTTGGTTAATCGCATGTATGGGTTGAGTCGACGCAATACCAAGAAACTTCGTTCATTTATGGAATTTGACGTTTATAGAATATTTTTATCACTCGAAATTCCTAGTGGGCAACACCTTCCCAAAATATTTTTGACACAAAGTTTATTTCCGAAACTTCTAACGAAATCCTTTTTTCTCAGTTGTTTTGTTGTCTTTTACATTATTTCTCTGTGGATACAATTCATGAAGAATCCAAAATGATGGTGTGCCAAGGTCAGGATGTAAGATAAGTGAAGACTTTCATTTAAACAAATTGACATCAAATAATTGAACAGGTAACAATATTCCA